CTACTCGGCCGGGCTCTGCCCGTCTCCTTTCGTTTCGTCTCGTCTCGTCCGTCGCCGCCGCCGCCGCCGCCGATGCTGCCGCTGCTGCTGCTGCTGCTGCGGAGGAGGAGGAGGACAAGCGGCGATACACGCAAGGCGCCGACAGGGGGCGCCGAAGTGCGCCTTCACAATAAAAGCTCTGGCAGTGGTCAGTCAAGTCGAGGGATGCTCGCGCTTTTTGATTCACTGAGCCACTTGAAACACAAAACAAACAAGAAAACACTGGCGAGCGCCTTTAGGTCAATCGTTTAAACACGTTCCCAAAAGAGAAGTCAAAAGGAACAACTGAGCTCATTTGCTGGTGCAAATGTGCGTATACGCTCCGAACTCGGGAGGTGGCTGTGTTCCCATGAACCTTTTCTTCATTTCTTCTTTTTTTTTTTCTAGTTGCGTTTGGGTCATTTGTGAGCCTCTCATTCAGCCTAAATAAAGAATTAAGTTCAACTGTTCCCGTCGGCTTTTTCTGACTTTTCTTCTCCGAAGGGCTGACTGGATTGGAATGTGTTGCAGCCATAAAAGTCCTAGTTCATGATTATTTGTGGAAAAAAAAAACGAACAAAAACAATAACTTCATTGGAATTGTGTGTGCGCGTGTATATAAAAACACACGCACACACAGATAGATAGATTCTACAATAATACCGCATTATTACCGATGTGACTTAAAAACGAAGACACATCGCGAAGGCCTCGTGACAGTCAACATTTTCGAACAGTCTTGACGTCGTGTGCGAGAGCACTATTTTGAAGGTCGCACACAGGAAATGAGCGAGGACCGCGTTCGGAAAAGACGTCACGAGAAAGTGACGTCTTCGAGCGGGAGCGAATCGGCGGCGCAGAATCGTCGACGACTGCCCAAAACAAACATGGCGGACGGTGAGTTCACTGTTGTTCTTTTCCTCATTTAAATAGAAATCAAAAGAAGATTTTTCCGCCAAGGTTTCTGCCGCTTCTTCCGTTCTCCTTTCGCGTCGCACCAAGAGCGAGACAAAAAAAGTCCGCAGACGTCGACCGGTTCAAGGTTGATGCTAAGCTAACTTGCTCGCGCCGACCCACGGACCGGCTGAGCGAGCGCTCACAATCCGGACCGGACGACCAAGCGCCGGTTTGGCTATTTCGTTTTTTTTTTCGCCGTCTTTCTATCGCTAGAAAACACAACCCTTGCGCTTTCTAGCAGCTGCCAAAAGCACGAAAATAGGTTTGGGGGGGGGGACCCCATTTTGAGGCCGTCCAAGTGACCGCAATTCTCTTTTGCAGAGCACGCAGACGCCGAACACGCGATGGAGCATCCCGCGGTGAGTGCCGATCATCATCATCATCATCAGTGTCCTCACAAGTGCTCGCGTGGATGCAGTGAACGTACAAAGAATCGTCCCCGGTTTTTGTTTTTGGACACACTGTGGCGGTCCCAGCACCGAAGTTGCCATGTTACGAGGGCTGGCGGGCGTAAAGTGGAAGAATATTGTCATTTGATGATAAAAGTTCTTGACGCGTCAATTGTAATTTGACAAGAAAAGTCCTTGTCCTGATCAAGTCCCATTTCTACGAGAAAAAAACCTTGGAAGGAATTTGACAACAGTCATCGTTTTTCCCCCAGCATCGAACTCGATGAGACGTTTCGAGAGAAAAGTCGTCATGTTTCCTTCCAAGCAATTTTAGAAAGAAGAACCGCCTCGCTTGTTCACAAAGCTAAAGGCCGACACTGCCGATCTCCGACATTTCCATTCAAGTCGTGACTTTTTCTCTTCCCCCCCCCTAACAAACCAATTGCCGCCTCTGGCGACGAGCGAGCCGGCATTTGGGGAGGATTCGGAAGGAGACTTTGGCAAAGAAAACAAACGCAAAGCGCGCGCGCGGGGACGGATGGGCGCGTTTGGGCGTTGATTGTCATTTTGCTTTGTCGCAGCCGTCGGAAAACCCCCACACGGAGTTTGGGCTGACGGACAGCATTCAGGTAAGGTCTCCGTCCGCGGAGGGGGGGGGGGCACGAGGCGCCGATCGCCAACACGCTTTCTGGCCCGCGCCAGAGGACGCTGGAGCAGGAGAAGACGTGCAAGCAGAAGGTGGACCTGCAGGCGCTGCCCACCCGCGCCTACCTGGACCAGACGGTGGTGCCCATCCTGCTGCAAGGCCTCGCCGTGCTGGCCAAGGAGAGGTGAGAGCGCTCGACGACGACGCCGTGTTTTGGCCCAAAATTTGCCGCCAAAGCAAACAAGCCGGGGGGTTGGCCGGAAGGCGTTCGGAACGCCCACTTTGGGCTCCGAATGGCCGCCCGATACGCCGAACGCCTCGCCGAGTTGCCAAATCGGAATGAGTTTGCGTCGCCGATCCCGCTTGTCGCGACCGTGACCGCCCCCCGTGCAAACGTGCCGAGGCACGGTCGTCGTCTTGGATGTTTTGAGGGGGGGGGGCGTTTTGTCACGCCGCGTCCCTGACGGAGCGGCCTTTGTTTTTGCCTCCCCCGCAGGCCGCTGAACCCCATCGAGTATCTGGCCGCCTTCCTCCTCAAGAACAAGGCGCAGTTTGACGAGCGCAACTGAAGCTTTCTCCTCTTTGCCAATAAAAGCTGACTCCGGTCTGGCAACATCTCCTTTTTATTGGGGGGAGGGGCTCAGATGTAAAAGTGGTGCGCGGCCAGGTCGTCCATGAACGGTCGCGCCAGCGAGTCGGTGGCAAAGTAGCAAATGAGGCCGAAGGTGATGGAGATGGGCAGCGCCGGCAGCGCCTTCTTGAAGATGGCCAGCAGCAGCAGCGTCACGCACAGACCCTGAAAGGCAGCCGTCGCCGTGGGACCCGTGGCCGCTTCGCCGTCTCGCAAACGTGCTCGAGTCTCTTACGATCAAGATGGCCACGAAGCACGCCGCGGTGGTGTTCCAGTCGCCCCCGCCGGCCGCCGCTTTGCCCACAAGGACGCTGTAGAAGATGAAGTCGCCCAGGCCCAGCTTCACGCCGCCTGCCGCCACACAACACGGTGTGAGCGTGAGTGACGCCGCCGCCGCCGGCGCGTCACTCACGCTCCTCCTGCTCGTCGTCGTCGTCCTCCGCCGCCGCCGCCCGGCCGCTCGGCTCCGCCTCCTCATCTGTCACACACACGGCAAAGTGAAGCGCAAACTTGCCCGCGCTCTCTCGTGTCGCGCGGGCGCCGCCCACCTGAAGCGCGTCCCGGCTCGCCGTCGGCGGGGCCCGTCGTCCACGCCATGGCGGCTGCGCACACAAACGCGGAGCGCTCGTCAGCGACGCGTCAACTCGTGATCGTGGTTGTTGTGCGTGTCGAGACGTTTCGTGGAAAAGAAAATGTTATAAAACGGTGGGGGTGGGGGGTGGTGGGAGGGGCCTGAGCCAGAGCAAAATCCACCGCACATCGCTGGCATTCTTTTTTTCTTCATACCGTAAAAAAAAATTCGGAAACTATCGGTTTACGTTTGCGGGACAAAATGGCGGCCGACTCACACGAGTAGATGAGGGCGGGGAAGATGGGCTCGTTGCGCTCCTGCGCCGTTTCCACCAGCATCCTCAGCGGACCCTTGGGACTCAGGACGGCCACCAGGTCTGCGGAAGGGGGGGGGGGCGGTGAGGAGGAGGAAGGAAGAAGGCCCCCGCGGCGGCGGCGGCGCTCACCGTAGACGGAGACGAGGGCCAGGATGAGCCAGGCCGACCACTCGGGCAGGTACTTGACAAAGACGAGCGCCATGAGCGCGCTGACCACGATCAGGTAGGCCTGCTGCAGCGCCAGCGGACCCTTCCAGTGGACGCACGCCATGCCCACCGCCCCAAAGTTCCAGATCAGCACGCCCGCCGTCGGATAGTCCATGGCCACGTTGTACGTCTTCAGCACCTCGCTGTTGCCGGGAGGAAGAGGGGGAACGCGCGTCACGTGACCATCGGCTTCGGCGAACGGACGCCGAGGCGCTCACCTGAGGTACATGAAGCTGAACCAGAAGAGCAGCAAGAGCGAGGACAGGATGAGCCAGCCGTGGATCACCTGGCGGCAACGGGCGGAAGGGCGTGAGAGCGAAGGCGGCGAAGGAGGCGGAGTTTGGGGGAGGCGGCGCACCTTGTAGCAGCGGTACTTGTAGAGGAAGACCAGCAGGACCGTCATGGCCACGATGACGCCGATCATGACCACGGCGTTCAGGACCGAGTTGAGCAGGCGCCGGCCCACCGACGACGTGTTCTCCGTGAAGGGCGTGTAAATCCTGCGGGCCGCGGCGGCGAGGTTAGCGATGGCGGGCGAGGGGAGGAGGGTGGCGCCCGCGCCCGCGGCGGCGGCGGCTCACAGCTGCTGGTCCGTCTTGTCGGCTCAGCTCCTCGTCGCCCGCCGCCGCCGCCTCCCCGCCGGCCTGTGCGAGGGGCGCAAGTTCATTCGGAGGGTTTGCTGACGGGGAGGGGACGCGGCCGACGTCCGTTTACCGTTTCGGGCGAGCGGTAGGACGGCACGGCCGGATTCTCCGACTGGACCAGCGCCGTGCGCTCCGTGTAGGCGTCGTCCTCGCCGTCCGAAGCGTCCATGGCCGCGCCCTGCGACTGCGCCTGGAAACACGAGCGCCCGAGGGCGTGGCCGCCCGACTTCAGAGGCCGCCCGCCCGCTGATGACAAAGCCGTTGGGTGCGAGGGCCGCAGAAGAGGAAAAACTGGTCTTTGGTTTTTGAATTGGTTTTCAAACGATCGGTCCCGAAAGCAATTTGAGATTGTTTGTAGTCTTCGTCAGCTTTCGAGGCAAATGGGGGCTCTTTGAATACGGACAAAGGTTGGAGAGTCTCTCAAGAAATCGATCGGTTGTCATTGGCACAGAAACAAAGAAATCATCATCATACTCATAATAATCCGACGAGACAGAAACCGCGTCTTTTTGGGTCAAACCTTAAGGTCGCAGTTCACATCAAAGCTGTAGAAGTGGAGCGACTTGATGGTGGCCACCACCAGCAGCATGCACAGCGTCACGGGAACGAAGAGCATGATGACGTGCTTGGCGCCGTACTTGAGGCTCAGCTCCTCGTCGCCCGTCCGTGTAGGCGTCGTCCTCGCCGTCCGAAGCGTCCATGGCCGCGCCCTGCGACTGCGCCTGGAAACACGAGCGCCCGAGGGCGTGGCCGCCCGACTTCAGAGGCCGCCCGCCCGCTGATGACAAAGCCGTTGGGTGCGAGGGCCGCAGAAGAGGAAAAACTGGTCTTTGGTTTTTGAATTGGTTTTCAAACGATCGGTCCCGAAAGCAATTTGAGATTGTTTGTCGTAGTCTTCGTCAGCTTTCGAGGCAAATGGGGGCTCTTTGAATACGGACAAAGGTTGGAGAGTCTCTCAAGAAATCGATCGGTTGTCATTGGCACAGAAACAAAGAAATCATCATCATACTCATAATAATCCGACGAGACAGAAACCGCGTCTTTTTGGGTCAAACCTTAAGGTCGCAGTTCACATCAAATCGTCATTTGAAGGGGCGAAAGAGCGCCCGGACGAGGACTCGAGTCCCCTTTTGAGCGTCGCCGACAAACGCGCGCGACCGCTCGCGTTCGACCCTCGTGACGTGCGAAGAATTCCGTGGGTGACGTCACGGCGCCGCCCGACCCGGCCGCGGTGTTTTTTTTGGGGAGGGGGGGGGGGAGAATCTTCGACGTCAAAGTTGTACCTGATTTGTCGAGTAGAAGTGCCGAGCGCCGCGTAGCCAGACAGTCGCAAGGCGGAAGTCACAAGGCGGAAGTCAAGTCACCAGTCGGTCACCTGACCGCGAGCCGAGTGGCGGACGTGACGTCACGCCTCCTCGTTTCCATCGAAACGTGAAAGAGACCGACTGGAGCGACTGGTCACTCATGCTGCAGTTCCACCTCGCGCCGAAGGGGGGCGGCAACGCAACACCCTCGCTTCCGGTACGGTGGAGTGTCATGGCGGCGCCCGTTCAGACGAACGAATCAACATGAAACCATCCGGTCGGAATTGAAAGTTGCTTTTTTTTTTCTTTCAGGTCAGCCCTTATTTCGTCTCGGTGCCTTCGTCGCTTGTCGACGCGGCCGTAAATCCGATTTTCGCCCTCACCGCATCAAAAGCGTCGATAGGTGATCGTTGCATTCGTTGAGGTTGACCGTCCGCGTCCTGATCATTTGCGCAAGCGCGACGTACACGAATGGAGGTCACGTCTGCGCCCTAAAGCAGAATTCTGAGCGCCGTCTCGTCTTCTCGCTCGGCCCTCAGTGAGGATGCTGCAGATGATGAAGCTGACGTCGGCGGCGGCGGCGGCGCGCGGTCTGGCCCGCCGTGCGAGCTTGCCGTCTCGGCCCCTTCCCCGTCGTCCCGTGTCCGCCGCCTCCGCCCCTCTGCTGGCCTCCAAGCAGGTGAGCGAGCGCTCCTAGGCCGACTCACCCGCCACCTCTCAATTGTGACACCCTCCCCTCCGCAGTTCAAAGGTCAGGGGAAGGAGCCGAGGCCAAAGGTGAAAGCCGACAAACAGGAAGTGGAGATCAGGCAGACCATGACCGTGGAGGCCCTCGCGCGAGCCATGAACAAACACCCTGGTAAATTGGTCCAAACTCAGGGTGGGCTAGGGTGAACTCGGCGTCGTCACGAGGCACGCGTGTACGCAGATCACGTGCTGGAGGCCTTGGCGAACACGCCGCTGGACGTGTCGCGCGCGGGCCCGTCCTCGGTGCTGGAGGAGCGTTGGATCAAGGAAGCGGTGAGGCGCTCGGGCATGAAATTCCGCTGGGAGAAGCTGAGCGAGGAGCCGCGGCGCCACAACCGAGACGCCGTGCCCAGGTAAGGCCGCCGGATCCGCGCTGGGAAATAAATCATGGTCTCGGGTGTCGTTCCAAAAAAAAATGTCTTGCGAAAATGCGCAGACCCCCCGCCGCCGGCGGCGGCGGGCTGGTGCGGCGCCCCCCGGTGGTCACCGTCATGGGCCACGTGGACCACGGCAAGACCACGCTTTTGGACGCTCTGAGGAAAAGCCAAGTGGCCGCCTCCGAAGCCGGCGGCATCACGCAGCACATCGGAGCCTTCGGAGGTACGCCGGGCGTACGACGACCTGACCCCCGCTAGCGCGCGTACGGACCGTTATGCGATGGGACCGGATGACCTTTGACCCCCTTTTTGGGGGAATGGAATCGCACGTCGCGTCCGATTCCATTCCCCAAATCGGAGGCCGCGTCGCCACTGTGGGCGGAGTTTTCAACGTCCCCGCCCCCTTTTTCTGAGCCGCAGTGGAGTTGGCGACGGGCGAGAGGATCACCTTCCTGGACACGCCGGGTCACGCCGCCTTCTCGGCCATGAGGGCCCGCGGCGCCCACGCCACCGACATCGTCATCCTGGTGGTGGCCGCCGACGACGGCGTCATGACGCAGACCGTCGAGTCCATCCGGCACGCCAAGCGGGCGGCAGGTAACCCCGCGCCGGGTCCGGGGCCGCGCCGAAGGCACGCGGCTGAGTGAAAGCTTTTGCGTCGCAGTTCCCCTCATCGTGGCGGTGAACAAATGCGACAAAGCTCAGGCCGATCCCCAGAGGGTCAAGCGGGAGCTGCTGGCCCACGACGTGGTGTGCGAGGACTTCGGGGGCGACGTGCAGGCCGTCCACGTCTCGGCCCTCAAGGGCCACAACCTGCCGGCGCTGGCCGAGGCCACCGCGGCGCTGGCCGAGATCCTGGAGCTGAAGGCGGAACCCGACGGCGCCGCCGAGGGCCTGGTGCTCGAGAGTCGCACGGACAAAGGCAAAGGGTCAGGCCGCGTCGCGACCCCGTCGTCGAGGGGCACGACGCTTTCCGACGTCTCGACTCACGTTTTTGGAGTCGCGCCCCCTTCGCAGGTCGGTGACGACCACGCTGGTCCGGCGCGGGACGTTGCGGCGAGGCTGCGCGCTGGTGGCGGGCAAGACCTGGGCCAAGGTGCGCTCGCTGTTGGACGAGCGCGGCCGCGCGGTGGAGGAGGCGGGGCCCGGCGTGGCCGTGGAGGTGCTGGGCTGGAAGGAGGCGCCCTCCGCCGGGGACCTCGTCTTGGAGGTGGAGTCGGAGGTGGCCGTCCATTTTCCACGCGGGGGGGAATAAAAACGGGATCCATCGCGTCGGACGCGTTCATCTTTTTTTTTTTGGGTCGTCGTCAGCAGCAGCGCGCCAGAGAGGTGGCGGCGTGGCGCGGTCGGGAGGAGGAGCTGGAGCGGCTGGGGGCGGAGGAAAGCGCCGTGGCGGCCAAGCGGCGGGACCACGACCGCGCCTACAGGAAGGAGAGGGCGGAGCTGGCGCACCTCAGCTGGCGGCAGAGGAAGGCGCGGCTCTACCGCGACAACAAGAGCGCCTTTGCCAGCCTCTTTGTCCGCAAAAGTATCGCCGGGCGCCAACTGCCTCGAGGAGCCGTCGCGACTCGTTATTTATTTTTTGGCCGGCCAGCCGATGTGGACGGCTCCTTGGAGGCCATCTTGAACATCCTGGACACCTACGACGCCGACCATCAATGTCGCCTGGACGTGGTTCACGTTGGCATCGGCGACGTCTCGGAAAACGACCTCAACATGGCGGAAACCTTCGGAGGTAGCGTACGCGTCGTCGCCTTGGCGAAACGCAATTTGGATTCCGGGATCGACCGCGGAAACATTTCGGGGCCGTCCGCCGCCTTTCGCTCGTCAATCCCGCGTTGTCTTTGGCCTCTGGCTCCGCCCTCCCCCAGGCAGCGTGTACGGCTTCAACGTGGCGGCGAGCAAGGCCATCCGGCAAACGGCGGCGCGCCGCGACATCGCCGTCCGGCTTCACGACGTCATCTACAAAATGGTGGACGAGCTCAAGGCCGAGCTGGCCGACAAGCTGCCGCCGCTGCTGGCGCGCCACGTCCTGGGTGAGTGGCGACGGCGGGCGGGCGCGCCGGCTTACGGTTTGGCCTGACCTCTGTGGCTCCGCCCCCAGGCGAGGCCACGGTTCTGGCCGTGTTCGACGTGACGGCGGGCAAGAAGAAGACGGCGGTGGCCGGCTGCCGCGTGCTCAAAGGTCAGCTGGAGCGCAAGATGAAGTTTCGACTGATTCGCGGCGGCGAGACGCTTTGGGAGGGTGAGCGACAAATGACGAGCGCGGGCGGGCGTTCGCTTTTACGGGGCGGGGGCCCCGCATACTGACGGAGTTACCGCTGCCGAGCGGCTGCTCTTTGACCTCACGACTCTGAAGGAGAGAGAGAGAGAGAGCGAGCGAGCCGGCGAGCTTTTTATTGGCTGCGTTTGCGGCGGCGGCGGCGGGTTGGGGGCGGGCCTTGTTGAGCGAGTCTTTGCCCGCTTGCTTTCAGGAGGCCTGCTGGCGCTGAAGCACCACAAGGAGGACGTGAGCGCCGCCGGGGCGGGCAGCGAGTGCGGCCTGTCGGCCGACGGCGACGTGGCCTTCCTGCCCGGCGACCTCGTCCAGTGCTTCCGGGAGGTGGAGGAGCCGCGGGTCAGCGCCTGGGACCCCGGATTCTGAGGGCCCCCCCCCCGTTTGAAAAGGAAAAAGATGACAAAATGAAAAACAACGGTGCTCAATGAGTGCGAAAAGCCGCAATCTCGCCGGCTCGGCTTTCGCACTGCGGGTTGCCGTGCGCCATTCAGACGGAGGCCGACGCCCCCTCGCCGGCCGCCTCGCCGGCCGCCTCGCCGGCTTCCGCGCGCTGTGGAACGCAAACACACAAAGACACAAATAAACATTTGACTTGGTCCATCTCCTTCTCAGACTTTGTCGCATTGTTTGAAGTTTTGGAATGACAGACACCCGCGGCGGAACAAAGTTCTTACCCGCGGGGCGGCTGAGCGGCCGGCCGCCACGCCCCTCTGCTCCCCCGAGGACGCCGTCTCCTCCCCCGGGGCCGGCGCCGGCATCCTGAGCACAAAACATTTGACTTGCCGACACGAACGGTTGCGCCGCGATCGAAGCCGAGCGAGCCGTCCAACCCCTTGCCGGTGGCGGGCTCCGCCTCCTCCGCCTCGTCTTCGTCGTCCTCATCCCCCGAGCTCATATCCTCCAAGCCGGTCCTGTCGCCGTGACGACAGACAGACGTCAGCGCGGTTCTCGGCTCGGCTCGCCGCGCGTCCTCGGGACGCCGCTCACCAAGAACACGCCCCTGCCGTCTTCTTCTTCTTGACCGGCGGCCGGCGGCGGCGAGCGGGACCGGGCCGCTTGGAGGCCGCCGCCCCCGAACCCGACGCCGCCTGCAGACC